AAAGAAAATAAAAATTAGATATATTATGGTAGCCATTGTTGATTTCCTGTTACCTTGTTTTGAAGTCCTGTATCAATTTCATTGTTTTGTTTCAATTGGCTTTATTCTGTCTTATTTTCTTTGGTTTTATTATCTTTAAAATAAAACATAAATTATTTCATCAACCTTTAAAAAACAAAAAGAAAAATGAAGTTTATGTCTCAAAAGGAAAGCCATGATCATTATTTGCAATGGTTACAAAATGTGGACCCTTTGTACTGCTTTTGTTTTGCTCTTGTTGCTAAAAAACAAGTACTAAATAATTAGTTTCTAACTTTCTGGATTATAATTTTCTAGAAAACAAAGTGGACTAAGTTCCACTTTGACATGTTTTCAAATGTTTTGAGGGAAGAAGAGAGTTCTTCCAAAATTAAAAACAGACTGAAAAAATTCTTTGCTTGACAATGGTGGATTAGCTAAGGGTCAGCCTGGAACACACAGCTAAACTGAGTCAACGTGGTACTGGGTGTGGAAGGCCCACCTGAGGATTGCTGCCAACAACATAAAAGCAGAACTAAAGGAAAAGATGGTGCCCTTGATTCATATAAAGAAGCTTATCGCACTGGCTTTCCTGATAAAAACTTGCTGTTACCATCAGAGGAGCTTGGGTCCTCGCTGTCACTGAGGATGGCCGCGGTTCTCTTTGGGGGAGCTCTGATCCTTACCTCGAGTGTCACTTGCTGGCTCCAGTGCAGCCCCTTTAGTCTGTGGGCACAGGTCCTTCACCCTACTGACTCAGACTTACTAGCTGCCACCACTGACCTTTGGGCCTTCCCAATGCAGATCCTTGATATGGACTTTCATGAGACATCACCATGGGATCTAGGCCTCCCGCTGGACTCTTGGAGGACCAGGCCCTCAGCTGGATTCTTTGGGTCCTAGTACATGGACTTGCACTTCTCTGTATTTCACACATAAAATTTTATAAAATAATCCTATAAATTATGTGTCAGTTCCCTTGGAAACCCTGACTACAACTATACTGCTAGAAATGTACTCAGACAAGTAAAATAACAGAACTTTATTTCAGACTTTCAGAAAAGTTATTTCTGGGAAAGGACTGTCAAAATTGACACTAAGGACACACACATTATAGTGGTAAGCTGTCTCTTTTCATGCTGTTGCAAGCAGGCTGAAAGCCGGAAACTTAAGAATATGCTGTTCTGGAAACAGACACACATTTAGATCACTAAATCTTCATGTGTAATAAATGAAATTCTTGTTTTTGTTTTTTGGTTTTTTAAAAACAAGCTTCTGATCTAATTGTGCCTCATGCAAATTTTATAATTCTTGTTGCATTAGAGGACTTCAGGTTTATTCTTACTTTATATGGGCCAATAGAGCTTAGAAAAGTCCAGGTGTCCAATGGCCACTCAGAAGCAGCTTTATCATCTTGCATATCCCATCTCTGTGAGGAAATTGATCCTTTTTGGTACCACTGTCCTTTATCTGGGATGTCAGGGTAGCAGAACCATCACAGCAACCTCAGCTTATAGACTTCACTTCTGGCTTGTCAGAGGGTTCCAAGTCTACCGTGGGGCTCTACAGACATATAGAACAGGTAGCATAGTTAAAAGCTAAACATTTAACCAGAAAACTTCATCGCTACAAGGAATATAAAATACCAAGTATGTCCCAGTCTTATTTTCTATATAAGGATCCTTACAAAGGATCCTGAACTATAATCATTCTTTAAAACAGAGCACTTAGCTTAGGTAAATTATCAAATCCTACTTCCTTGTTAGTCTTTACACTAGGGATTGCAGAGCAGGTCAACTGAAACGATCCTTAACATTCCTAACAGCCTGCTTGCAACAGCTATTCTGAGTCAAGTTTAAAACCTTACAGTCCATCTCTGAAGGCAAAGCTCTTAGCTATCACCAACTTCTGGCACTTAAAGTCATGTGGCTTTGCTAAATTTCTTTATTTCTCTGAATCTCAATTTCCTTATCTTAAAAAAAAAAAAAAAACTTCCTTGTAGAATTACTGTAAGTATTAATCATGGTGGTGTGGTATGTTGTGTTTTAAAATCTGAGATGTTATCCTGCTTGCAGGTCAATTGTGGATCCTGAAAAAGACAGGAGACTCCAGAGTCAGAGCGAAGGACAGTTTATCACAGCAGTAACAGTGGCCGGGACATCACCGTTTGTCCCTTCCCTAGCCCTATTTCCATCAGGTGACACAAAGAAGGCCAGGCATCAGCTGCCCGTGCAGTCGGCTGTGCTGGAGGAAAGGAATCCTAAGCTAAGTGGGCCCAACTCTTGTGTGATGAGTGTACACAAACCTGCTTGACCTTTGTTCCGGGAGAAGGCTTTATCTTTATTATTCTAAACAAAACCTAATCTGGCTTCTGCTCACTTTTTGTCTGAGCATTTGCTTCCATTTCTGTTGGGCGAAAGGCCTAGGGGTAGGGTTGATGAGTTACAGTGGATTCCCGCATTTGCGGGAGTTAAGTCCCTACAGCACCTGCGAATTTTGAAAAACTGCAAATTTCTGATACAGACAGAAAAATGCCTACATGCTATGTCTCCCACAGTTATGTCATTTAAGCTAATAAAGTACTATATTAATAAAGTCTTAGAAGGTGCAGGGTGTTTTGGCAGGAGTTTAGAGATTTAAGAAGAACAAAACTGAAGACACTCAAGATAGCAAACCTGGTCCAGTATTCTGTTATGATGCATGAAAGCTGGTGCACGTGCCAGAGATGAGTGACAGGGCAGCAGCCAATCAGCAGCAAAGAGAACAGAGTAACGCTCTTGGATTGGTTACTTGCAAACGTCCCTCCAAAAAAAAAAAAAAAATTATGGTGGCTACTTGCAGAGAAATTGCAGGGGTTTTTGAGAGCACAAACTCTGAACCGCAACTTCACAGTTTTATATGGTGTATGATAAATTTATGTTTAATGCATACCAATACATGTATACTTAACGATGGTGGTGCCACTTCTTCCACGACATCTAGAAACTCGAGCACAGACAAAAAATTGTTCCCTCATAATTTAGAAGAGTAGATAGCATACAGTAAATATTTAATACAGTAGCCAATCATAGTCCTTGTCAAGTATTAGGGTATTTATTCATTCTAGGAAAAGAATTAAGGATCCTGAATATTACTTTTACTTCCTTTTATTTGAATAGGGAATATCTATTTTTTATTGAAAGACAAAATCTGGGAGATCCCAGACAGGGAATCAATAAATATGCTTACCACATCGATGGTAGCTGCTTGACTGAGATTTGCTTTGTGAAATATTCCCTTATACACAACTACCTCATCAAGGGATAATGTTGAGTAACTCAATGATTACAGTGTACAAAAGCTTTTTCTCAAAATAATACAAGCTATTTGTTTCTATTTATTTTTGTTATCTATTTAGTTTCCCAAATCATTTATTACACCTCAGAACTGGCGTGGGGCATCTCCTGAGATAGCTTTATCACAGCCTTTCCATCTTATTATGGGTTAGGCTCACTGAACTATCATTCATGTAAGTACAATTCATGATCTTTGTACATTCAGGCACATAACCACCAGCATGATCTAAGTACAGAATGGTCCCAAAACTCCAAAACTTATATATCCTTGTGGTCAATGACCTCTCACCATCACTGGCCCATAGCAACCACCTATTTGTTTCCCCTATCAGTTTTCCTTTGGCAGAATACAATATAATTAGAATTTCACAACATTTTGAATGTTGCTTTTCATTTAGTATAATGTACTTGGGGTTCACCCATACTGTATGTATCCGATCTGTTGTTTTCATTGCTAAGTAGTATTCTATTACATAAGTACACTGTTCTTTGATTACCTAGTAATCAATTCATGAGCATTTGTGTCATCCAGTTGTGTTGTGTTAATATTCATGGATTTTGAATGTTACTTTTGCTAGTAAAACTAAAGTCCCTGGGTATTCAATCAAAAGTTAACCTAAATCTAGCTACTTGGAGGCTGAGACAAAAGTATGTCAAGTTCAAGACTAGCCTAAGCAATTCAGCAGGGGCCTATATCAAAACAGAAAAACGAAAGGGACTATGGCTGTAGTTCTGTGGTATAGTGTGATTTCAGTCTCAAGTGCAAAAGAAAAAAATGGAAAACCCTAAGGGCTCGGGAAAATGATTTTACAGATCTGATTTAAAGTGCAGTATCAGTCATCTTTAAGTTAATCAAAGGGAAGATTGTTCTGGGGCTCGGGCCTGTGAAAAGGTTTAAGACCGCATGAGTCTGGCAGCCTCTGCACCAGGACCCACTCTCCCTGTTGTCTGAGACTGAGGAAGTCTGCCTGCCCAATGTTCGCGTGGGTGAGAAAAATTTTTTGATTCCCACCAGCCTGTTGGCTTGTTGTGTATAACCTGAAGAAAATGAGGCAGAAGAAGGCTTGTGTTTTAGTAAATATGGAAGAAGGAAAAGCAAACAGTGAGTTGCAAGAGGGGCCAGACTTGGAGGAAATGAGACTTTTCCCATAATCCTGTCAAGTCTCTACACACACACACACACACACACACACACAGCCCGACCCAGGCCCCGCCTCCTCGAGGGTCCTCCGGCACAGAGAACACAGAGGCGTCATCCGAGTGGAACTGTGCAAGGGACGAGTCTTTGAGCGCAGAAAGAATGCTGATTAAAATATTGTCAGGAATGGCACGGCCTTCTCTGTGGAAATGTGACCTTGGTGTGTTCCTCCCGGCTATGTTTGGTGACAATGTGCAGGAAATTGTCCTCTGAGCACACAGCTAAACCTTCAGGGTTGACACTGCCCGTTGGCTTCTATGCTCTTGGCAGTATATTTTCTAATGCCTCTTCTGCATAGATACTTACAGTTCACCTGCCACGGATGAGTCTCATATAAGGTCAGTGTTGCTCTTTGGGCCCGGGTACAACACTCTGCACTCCAGATAGCCAGTGATACCAGTGGATCCCCATCTTTGCCCTTTAATTTCCCCTTGCCATTTGTCCCCTAGATTTCTGTGCCTCGTGTCATCTGTGTTAAAGCCACAGACTTCCATAAGGACCATGTGTAGGTCCAGAAGACATCAAAAGGGTAAGTCCATGAAGAAAGAGTCCAGGATGATTTGTGAGGCCTGATGGAGGTCAAGGGGAAAAGAACACTCCACCTAATGTGACCACAGCCCACGAGCTGCTGGCCTGGCATAAGAGGTCAGGGCTGAGTGGTCCCTTCTGTCTCCATCCAGAACCATGGCATTTTAACATCTTCTTGGGCTCTAAAGAAATCCTCTTTCAGAGGTTCGCCTGTAACAAATATCCACCCAAAACACATGTATGTGAATCCTAACAGCGGCCTGATTCATAATAGCTAAACAAGGGAAGCAATCAACTGTCCATCAACTTAGGATCAGGTACATGCAATATGGTATGTGCTGCATTCAGGTGAATACTGCTACAACATGGACGAGTCTTGAAAACACTGCTAAGTGAGAGAAGTCAGTGTCCAAATTCCACATATCGTGTAGAAGCCTTTTGTGAAATTTCCAGAACATGTAAACCCACAGATAGGTAAAATAGGTAAGTGGTTGCCTCAGTCTGAAGGACTTGGCTGGGAACAAGATGTGACAGCAGATAGGCCCGGGATTTTGTGTTTAAGTGATGAAAATCCTCTAACATTAAAATGTGGCAATTGTTGTATAATATAATCCAAAGCAATTAAATCATATACTTTAAAAGATAACTTACTACTACAAGAATTTTATCTTCAACAAAAATGGTAGTGAAAAAGCCTCTACTTTCGATGCAAAATTCAGAAACACAAGGCAATGGCATTTCAACAAAATTAAAAACAAAAACTTCTGCCTAAACCTAGAATAAAGGTGGGAAAGGAAAGCAGAAGTGGCTGTCACAGCATATTGAGCTCTAGGAGACAGCTGTGGGGCCAGGGACAGGTACACAGGCACCGGGGACGCTGCCTCCCTGAGGAGAAGCTGCTGAACATGCCAGAAGGTGGCCTTCAGAAGGCCAGATACCACCGAAGGCCATCACACCCATTCTTTGTTGGAGAAACTTACTGGAAGGGGCAGAGGAACTCTGAAAACACGAAAAGGATTATTGCTGCACACCAAGTTACAGGAAAGCCTGACACAGCAAAAGGGAGCTGCTGAAGCTCCAAAATGCAAGAGGAAAGAACAAGGTGCAGATGAAGAAGCCGGTAATGTATGTATTTGTTCTCATGCATTTTTTTCTCTATCTATAAATTATTTAATGCCTCTGCTATAACTTGCTGCTTTTAAAGAAAAAAAATTATAATGTCAGACTGTGTAAGATTTCTTTTTGAAGTGTTACAATATCCTTATTTAACACAATAGCAGCTGAGTCTTTCAATAGTCCTAACAACTGTATCTTCAGGAGCCACTAACCTGGCCTAGCTCAGTACAGGGGTTGTAAATTGGCGTGGAAATTCAAAGCAAGCCCTGTCGGTGTACACAGGCTTACAACTTAGTTACATATAGTGTAGTTTTTGCATCAGTTGTCTCTGATGTGGATTATCCAAAATAATTAGTTTTGTTAACTGAGTTCCACTCTGTAATTGAAAAAAATAAAAGCTACTGCTATTTTGTTGACAATCTGAATGCTTCTAAGTAAATTTCCTATGGGAATTTTATTTAGTATTGCTAAAAATTGGTAAAATTGGTTGGTTTTGAGTAGTGGCACTCTCAGTGAATATTTTTTGTTCTGTTTTGCATTTTCCCCCTGAAAAAGTAGGTATGTGTGAAGTTTAAATGAAAATAGAAACACAAAAACTAATGCACATAAAATAAAACACTGAAAAGATGCACAAGATGTTAAAAGAATTAGTAGAATTTAATGTGGGAGAGTGGGATGGTGATTAGCTTTTATTTTGTCCTTTATGTGTGTGTGTGTGTGTGTGTGTGTGTGTGTATTGCAGACACACTTATGTGAACAAAGGGAGCAGTCCCTGGATCGTGGAGCTGGCCCTGTTGGCTTTCATGGGCTCTCAGAACTCCAGCCTAGGGCCTCTGGTCTTCATGGAAAGGGTTCACTGTTGGGCTTGAGGATTCCCGGAAAAGCATTCTGAAACCCAGAAAGGAACCCTAATGACTGAATGGAAGAAGATGTGACTTCCCCAGGGAGGGGTGCCCAACGTCCATTTGGTGAACACTTGCTTATCTGACTTTGATGCTTGGGATAGAGGCACAGAGGGTGATACAGGTGTGCAGGTCCACAGGAACCACTGCATCAGTCTACACAGGAATTTAGAAAGTGGAGGCACAGAGTACATCTCCAGCAGAAATCTGGAGAACTTCAAAACATGTGGTAAATTAATTGGTGGTCTGCCTGAGCGGGCCTGCCCAGCTCAATAGAGTCAGCATTGTTCTGAGCATGGTAGACCCACCTGAGGATTGTTGTGGAAATGGTATGACAGGAGAACTGGAGGGGATGACAGCTTGCTGTTGATTTTCCTGAAGAAGCTGGGCGCTGCTGGTTTTCTTGATATGAATTTGGCCACTCTGTTCCTCTTGGAGGAGACCGAATCCTCAAGGTCACCTGGGTCAGTGGCTGCTCTCTTCCGGGGAGCTCTGGTCTTTGCCTTGAGTGTTACTTTCTGACTTCAGTGCAGATCCCTCAGCCTGCTGGCATAGATCCTTCATCCTAGAGGCGCAGACTGTCTAGCTTCTCAATATGGACTTACATGAGACACTGTCATGAGCTCTAGACCTCCAGCTGGACTGGTGGGAGACATTGTGATGGGCTCTAGGTCTTCAGCTGGACTCATGTAGGACATTGCCATGGGATCCAAGCCCTCGGCTGAATTCTCAGGGTCTCTAGTAAGTGGACAGATCTCTTACACTTCTCTGCACTGCATTTTTGGGTGAATACAATAAATAATCCCGTAAGTAACATGTCCTGAGTTAAATCTGTTCTCTTGCAAGCCCTGATTACAGCACAAGGTCATCTGAACCTGCCTCCCCGTTAGCTGGCAGAAGCTCCATTTTCACCCCGAGGATCATCCGTGTCACCCTACTGTTTGTTGAGGTGCTTTGTATTGGAATTGAAAAGGAATCAAAGTGCTAACATGGGCACAAGCTGATAGCATCAAGCCGCTGGAGAAGCAAGAAAGGTGGATGTAGAAAAAATAATAAAAATAAACTGAATAAAATATCAGTTGAAAGCACATCTTTGTGGAGACAGCAGGAACTATTTGACTCTAATTAAGATGTAAAACATTCCACAAGTTTACTTACCTTGAGAAAAATAAGTCAAAGCAACCTTTTGCTTTGAAATTCAACTTTTTCTCGGAAATCAAGTAGAAAGCAAAGCTGTCTTTCCTCCGCAGGACCTGAGGATGGGGTGGGAGTGATAGAGAAAGGAAGGAGGGGGAGAGAGAAAGGCAGGCAGAGCATTGTCCTGGGTTCAGTCCCCAGTACAGGAAAGGGGTGGGTCAAATTATTTTTTATGAAGTTTAGTTTTATTTATGAACAAATTTATGGAAGAGAAAATTTAGCTTTTATACATGAGCAAAGTATTAGTGTTTTAATGGTCTTGGAAGAAAAAGCCCTTCCCTGTTCAAGCCGAGCAGTTACAACAGTGGCCCCGTCAGGGTATCTGAAACAGTGTCCCTTTCCCACTCGTCCCCTCCCACCCTCCGTGAACACACGTGTCTGCACCGTGACCCATGGGAAAGAGGAATTCCAGAGACCACAGGACGCCTCCTGGGAGCAGCTGATTAAAGCAGCATCAACACCTTTCAACACCAAATAACCGTCTGCGTCTGTCCATAGCGAGCAATACAGACAGTGAAGCCAATGTGGTTTAATCAACCCACTTTACAGTAAGAATAAATTTCTGCTGCTTAAATCACTATTCCACTACAATATGGTAAAGGAAGGGAAGGAAGAAGGGGTAGCAGGAGAGAGGGAAAAGAAAAAGAAAGAAGAGACAGAGAGAGGAAAGGAGGAAAGAAAAAAGTATACCAAGTATTTTTACCTGTAGGCTCCCAGTGTCTTAATATATTTTGCCCAACTGAAAGTATCATTTTCTAATTGAATATGTGTAGATACTAAAGACATATATTCAAAGCAATGTGCAGGTCTTGAGACTTCTAAGGTGAGTCTCAGTCAATTGGCTTAAAAATTTGTACTGCACCAGTCACAAAATCATTCATCACTTGAATTTACCAATCAAGCAGAAAATGACACAACTTACTTCCTTTGGAAAATATGGAATAATGAAAACAAAGTTATTTTCAAGAGTATTTCACTCTTTGGTTTAAAACTCCATTAAGAGGTATTGATATGGTGAACTTAACTGAATTTCAAGTAACTCCAACATGAAGAATTATAAAATTAGATTAATCCAGCAGGCATTTATTTTAAATCCATATACCAGGACTTCTAATAAGTACTAGGAATACCATAATGAACAAAATAAGCATAAATGTCTGCCATAAAAAAGTTACATCCTTAAAGAACTTGTTAATAAAACATACAACATAGATTGTCATGTGATTATAAAACACAAAGAAAATAAAAGAAGGGAATTGTAGAAAAACATTCACACATTTGAGTGAAGAGCTAAACGTGCCTTCCACTGTATCCACATGGGCTAAACGTTTAAACAGACGCAATGCATGCTTTATAAAACACCCTCACAAAGGGTGACTCTTCCTAGGCTGGGTGACTTTCTGTCCCTGCCAGGAGTAGCACATCAAGATGGCACCATCCAGGCTTTGTCCAGGTGGCAAAAGCCATTGAAGTCCTGTGTCACCTCCTCTGACTCCTGTGATGAAGTGAATCATCTCCTCTCCCCACGCACAGACCTTTGTGACATAGCTGGCTCTCTTCCCTACCAAATTACAGGCTCCTTGAGATTTTATGTGGCGCAGTTTCCATCTGCACATAACACAAAGACGGTTCTCATTGTGGGCACTTCTTGGTTTTCTTGTTTGTTGATTTAAAACTGAACAGAAGCAGATACCTAAGTACATAATAGTGAACACAACTTTGAAACAAGCATCTGAAGACCCAAAGTCAGTTCCAAGAAACCAGTAAGACTGTACCTGGCTGGTATTATGGTTTGGATCAAAAATGTCCCCAGGAGGCTCATGGGTTCAGACAGAGGCGGGTGATTAGATCAAGGGGCACTATCCGCACCACAGCACGTGGGTCTAGTGGAGGAAGCAGGTTGTTGGGTGCTCGACTTGATGGGTACTCAGCGCATAGTAACAGTGCCAGGCCCACAGTAGTTACTTAGCTCTGTGGAATAACTGGTGAACGGATGTGAAATGCTTGCTTAGCTTTTAAAACAATGAGACATTGTGCAAGAGAAGAAAAGAGTGTTATTTTCCTGTGGACTTTTTCTTTCACTCTACTTTGTAAAAGCACATAAACCTAAACCTGTTACATCATTCATCTAAGAAGCGAAGACCGTCGAAATTCCTTGGCAGTGTAACACACATGTAGAACACTCTGTGTTATGTTGTTTTAGACATTTCAAATATGTTCAAAATTAGCACTGTGAATAATTAGTGGATGAGCACAAGGCATTTCAGCCAGTGATGACTTTGCCCCCAGGGGACATTTGATCTAGAACCTTTCTGAGTTTTTAAAACTTGGTGATGGGGCCTTTACGGGCATTTGATAGGTAGTGGCTAAACTTCTACAAAGCAGAGAATGGCCCCACAGTGAAGAATGACCCGATCCCAAACGTCAGTAGCACTAAGGTTTAATAACCCTGGCCTGAGCCTCTTACCTGCAGAAATTACTTTTTTTTTTTGCAAGTTACACTAATGACATCAAAAGTCATCATGGAATCTTATATAAATATGACTGCTTCACTCATCAACTGCTAGGAACGTACAACTTCTCAAAAGAACTATAAAAGTGTGTACTCTGAACCCAGGGAAATATCGGCCTCAAGAAAAGGAAAGGGTGTGGTTTTTTGTGTTCTACATTTGATCAGTAGCAGTTTAAACCCTGCTGAGACAATTACGTGATAATAAGCATACTCAACTTTAGAGACACTTGGATGAATTGTTTATAAGCACTAATTAAACTGTTATCGCTGATAAAGTGGCTGATGACTCTGGAAAGAATTCCTTGGCTATTCAGCAACAAGATTACCAAACTTTGTAACACTGTAGCATAGCACAAGAGGAGTAGAGTAGTTTGTTTTATTTATTATTTTTATTTTTTGGTAACTGGGGATTGAACTCAAGACTAGGGTAGTTTAAAAATCAGGAAATACATCAAAGCAAAATGAGAAAATGTCAGCATACTCTAAGTGATGAGCTAAATTTAGCTCAAGCTAAATTTTCACTCATACCCCAGACTATGTCAAGAACTCGATTTAAAGCCCTGTATTACTCTCACCATCTTGTTTTTGACTGATGTTCCCCTATTCTGTTTTGCTGGATAGTATCAGGTTCGAAAGTTTAGGCAACAGCTGTGAAGATAATGAGATTCATTATAACGCCCATTCTCGTTGACTTTTATCTACTTTTGAAGACCTACAATGTCTCCAATGTTTTGGTTTTGTTGGTTTTGTTCTTTACTGTTTTGTTCAATTTTATTATAACTAATGATATAGGCAATTCTATTAGAGATAGCGGGAGGCATTATGGTAACCATTGTTGATCACCTTATATTATGTTTTTACATTATCTATTATGTCCACCCTTTTGATTTGACCGACTCTGTTCTGTTAGGTCACATTTGGTTTTACTCTCTTCCAAAAAAGTAATAAGAACCGTGGGAGCAATAAAACCCAAAATGTGTAATACTCATTGTACAAAAGAGAGGAAAAGAAAGTGCTCTAAACTATATAACTGCATGTATATTTAAGTGTATAAGATAGAAAATGATATCACTGAGTTTTATTGGATCATTGAACAGAACTGTTTGCAGTATCATTGTTGGAATGTCCACTTTACAAGCTTTAATTTTGTGACTTGAACAATTATTTCTAAGATGACAATATGTAATCCATTAACTAGTGATTTCCTACTGTTTATTTTTTTTCTATAAATCTGTATAACTTGTACCCTTTCTCTGCTTTTTTTTTCCTCCTTAAATAAAATTTAAAAAAAAAAAACCTTGGGTACTGAAAATCTAACAAGTTTTCTGAATCAATAAAAGTTCATGCGCTGTCAAAAAAAAAAAAGAATATGATTCAAGGAGCAACACGAACAATTTATCTACTCTTTTCTGATGTCACAATAGCATGTGTTACAACGCAAATCTCTACTTTGCTTCCAGCTTCTTACTGAGCATATTTTGACAAGATTCACTTAGGAGAGCTTCACTTAGATTTATCCTGGACACACAAACACATCATATTTGGGCTGGAGATGTAGCTCAGCGGTGCAGGACCTTGCCTGGCAAGCCTGAGGCCCTGATTCCAATAAAGGAAAAGCAAGCAAGCAAGCAAGAAAGTTTGTTTAAAAAAAAAAAATACATCATGTTTTCAAAGATAAGCCTGTTGGGCCAGGGATTTAGCTCAGTGCTATAAGCACCAGCCTGGCAAGTAAAAGGTTATGAATTTGATCCCCGGTATAAAAAAAGAGAGAAAGAGAGGAAAGGAAAGGAAAAGAAAAGAAAGGAAAGGAAAGCAAACATAAGGTTGTCATGTGTCCCATACCAAAGCGGAAACTCCTGAGTTATTGTCAGTAACCCAGCTTTTGGGTGCCTGGGCTCACAATCCTGTTACCTTTTCGTTTCATTCTGCATTCCAGCCCCTGATATCCAGCCTTCTGCATCTGTACCGTAATGACTTTTGGATTTGATCCTTTGCCCCACTGATTCTCTTTTATCCCTGCTGTTTGAAGTCCCTATCTTAATGAAGGTTCTTATCATTTACACCTAGACTTCTGCAACCTCAGGCGGTCCCTTTAGCTTCTTCCTGACCCACTCTCTGTATAACGTGATAACAGCAAACAACACCACCAGTGACAGCTCTATGCTGCTAGAGCTTTGAAGTTTAAAGCTCAAGTTTCAGAGTCAGGTCTGAAGGACTCAGGTGCATTATCATATTCAATTCTCCTAACAATTCCACATGAAGTAACTACTGTAATTATTCCCATTTTACAAATAAGGAAATGGCAGAGGAGAAAGTAGAAATCACTGGTTTTAGGTCTCACATCTAGTAAGCTGTGGTCTTGTTCTGGCCCTGAGAGTC